TGTACCGTGCATGGAATTGTAGTCTTTGATTAAAGTATGTTCTGGTAGTAATCTTTCAATTAAGTCTAAGTAATAATAGCTACAGGAAGGGTAGGCAACATCTGGCCTTCCTTCACCTCTCATGTTGACCAGGACTTGAAAAGAGTTGGACTCCAACAACAATGGAGAGTTACAAGTGACCCACTCTTGGTCTATGAATCTTAGACTTATATTGAAATTAGTTCCACTACACTTGTGATTTTCTTCTCCCCAAAGGTAAAAACAGGGACAGTGTTTCATCAGAAAATAGGGACATTTCCTAGTAGATATTAGCAACTGAAACACACTGAATGCTCATGTTTTGAAAAGCATCACATGCTGGGTTTTTTTTTTTGCTTCCTTGCTTGTTTGTTTTACAGACCACACCACAATTAAAAATTCAGGAGGATATCAGGCTTCTTTTTTATGCTCCACTGACAAACTTATGCATTGCAGCCCCTCCCTTTTTTTTTCCTTTTTTGCTATTAATCCAGCCATCAGAGAGCTGATTTGCCAATTTTTACTCTGACTTTATTCTTGTACTGCCATTTTCTGCTCCAGCTCTAGTTTCCTCTAGAGGATGAAAAGTGTCAATTTTCTTCCATTATGAATGGGCTTACTGGATATACTTGATAGTAAGAGAAAGGGAAGGAAAATATTCTATGAATTACTGTGTAATATTTTCCATGAATGGGTATTGAAACAGAATATTACTTTCATGCAGAATCCAGGCTAGATCTAGTTTAAATCAAGTTCAGGTTTAAAACTGCTAATAAAATAAAGGCATATGGGAAAAGTAATGTGTTTTCCACCATCTCTTACTTACATGGTCCATCTCAATTTTTGGCATTATTAATCAGAGATGTACATTTTTGCTCATTGTATTCTTGCATGTGAGATTAGCAACAAGAAGAAAATATTTCTTTGCATCTGGGCAAGATCATGAGGAATTTTTTGAACATGATATTTTTCACATTTTTATAAAGTTATGTTGTGCACAAAAAGGAAGGTTGTGAAAATTATAGCATTTTTCTGCAATTTTTTTGCCTATTGCAGATCCTGGCACCTCTTCCACAAGGATGTAAAATGTCACAGTAGTGGTCATCCCTCACCCATGTGGTGTGTTGGCATGTTGAGATAACTTTCACAGTATATTTGTGGAAGTTAATTATATCCCTAATTATTAATATGGTTCTTGGAGGAGATAGTCTTGGTGCCTTCCAGTAGCTACTGTGAATATTCTAAATTTTGACATTCCATAAGAAATAAATTCAATAAATCCCTGTTTAATGGGCTTCCCAACAGCTGCTGGATAACCCTGGGTGAGCACAATCCCCCAATACAACTGGCTACTTTATTGGCGGCGGGGGGGGGGGGTGTGTAAAAATTACCCTTTCACACTCTTGGCCGAATAGTAGTCATCACCATCTCAGATCTCCATATAAAGTGAAGTTCAGCCCAAGAAAATGTCTCTTTTGGGGTGGTGGTGGGTGGGATTGTGAACATGTTCATATAATGTGTATACGAGGACTGTTTGAAGGGGCCAAGATGTGCATTCAGTCTCCTGTCATAAAATGCTAAGAGCATCAAGATGGCACTGTTTGAATAAAAAATATACTATTTCCTTTTTGCAAGAAGATATTTTTGCATTATCCTATCACCAAGTCTAACACCCAAAGTGCTAAAAATAAACCAGTCACTTTGCAGGGACAAATGTTACACTTTTAGCACTTGTAAAACTACAGGAGACTGTGACTTTGACTTAGAACAGAACTAGTGCAATGTACTATATGAAAATTCTACTGATGCTGGAACACTTAGTGTAAAAATATTGCTATTCGGTTTGGATATGGGAGAGGAATTCTAGCGATTGATTTTCTTTTAAAAAATGAATTATAGATACAAGTAGAGTAATACAAATCTCAATAATGAAATTCCTCTTACATTTTCACTCAATATAATGCATTTTATTTTACTTAACCTTACCAATCCCAATTTCATCCTTATCAACCACTTGTGTCTAGCAGTTTTTCTTTTTTCCTCCCCTCCCCTCCCCTTTGCCCCCCCCCACTGTGAACAGTTGTATCTTCAACTTGAGTATTATTTGAATTGATCGATCATGAAGAGAGTGTGATTTAGTTCTTTATATTTTCTTTTTCCTTTTACTCTAGCTATCCGAGTTCCCCATTTCAAGTCCCAATTCTTCTTACAATCTGTTGTGTATTTCATCCTCCTTTCAAAAATATAATCCTGGAGCAGACAGTTGGTTAAATATTCAAACCAATGTTTTAATTCCCATTTTTCCTGCTCTTTCCAGCCCAAGGTTACTGTTATTTGGTCCACTTCTATCATATGTTTTGTGATCTCTGCAATTGGTTGGTGCTGCTCTTGCCTTTGATTTTTCTGAATAAAAAATACCCTTTCATTCAACTCTACTTTTTGCCCTAATAGTCCTTCCATCTTTTTCTTTATTTTATTTTAAAATATCTGTATTTTGTCATAGTCCCATCACAAATGCAAAAAAGAGCATATTTCACCGCATTTGTGCCAACATAGTTTTGATGATGATTTAGTTGTATTGGCTTATTTAACTGGGGTTCTGTACCATTTGGTCAATATTTTCCATTGTGCTTCTCTGATCCTAATATGTTTACATTTCTTAATTGAGTTATTGTAAGTTTTTCTGACTGTATGGCCATGTTGCAGAAGCATTATCTCCTGACATTTCACCTGCATCTATGGCTGGTATCCTCAGAAGTTGTGAACTGAATTGAATTAATCCAGTGTTCAGTGTCTGACTCATTGCAGTTTAAATCCTCTTTCCATATCTCTACTAAAGTTTGTTTCGGTTTATATTGTTTTCCAACTATTTCCTTTTAAAGAAGCCCATCAAGCCTTTCTCCTTCTCTAATTTCCATTTTAACATCTGATCAAAATCTGTTTCTGGACTTGCCTTTCTCCTCCACTCTATAATCCTGTGTCTCAAACCATTCCATAACAGCCAATTGCTTTGTCCACACTTGTATTGTGATTTTATCATATCACAATCTTTAATTGTCCCATCTGTGTTTAAGAGGTCAACAATCAACCTGATTCCACTTTGCTTTATTTTTTTATCCTTTTGCCAAATATCTGTTCATCTTTATTATCTAACATATATTGGAGTATATCTATTTTATTGGGAATTGATTTTGCCATTTTTCCAACATTCCATGGAGAAGATCATTGGACCCTCTTTAATTTCTTTTAAAACATTATTGTCTACCCTACTCTTCAGACACAAGCAGTCGCTCCAACCATTTATCACTTTCTTGATTCTGGCCCATCTTTTTGAATTCTCAAAATCTCATTCTATCAATCTTGTTAATTGGCAGGCCTCAAAATAACCCCTTAAACTTGGAACTCTCCATCCTCCATTGATTGATTATCAAATATTCATTGCTTGTTTTACATTTTCAATGTGGAGTATAAAGCTTTTCTTCTTTTTAAAAAAGTGCACAAATTTATTATATATTGAATATCCTCTCCAGCAACTATAAAAGGAGGATATTAAATTTCCTTTCAATAATATATAACCTTCTCTCCACTGCCTTTGATTTTATCCTGCTGACATTAACCAATATATAAATGGAGTTGTTTTGTTTGTTCAGTCAGTTAAAGATGCATTTCTTCCCTATGAAAATTTTGTTGCAGACTCTTGTGAATCTTCCATGTGTATTTTACAACTCAGGGAGTATGGCATCTATTTTAATTGCTTAGACATATCAGGTTTCTACTATTCACCATTACTACTGGGTTGATTATTATACTTGTGTAAATAGGTAAGCATGTGTACCACACTGAATACAACAGTTTCCTGCCACTAACAGCAAGGAAAGAAGGAACAGATCAGGGATCTCTTTGGCTATTTTAGCCAGCCTTATACATGTACCATGCAAAATTTTCATGGGACCCTTTCACACTCCACAATTTTTACTTCATCACTGATCACTACAACTATCCTCCTATTTTGTAATCAGCAAAGTGAACAGTTAACTGCTTCTTTGCAGTTAGAGAAAAAGGAGGGGAAAAGAATAGAAAGTAATTGTGCTCTCGTATCTATTTGCTTCTGCTGTGATTTCCTTGAGCTGACTTGGCTGACTCAAGCTGAGATGACCAAAGTGCATGGAATAAAATTGTTTTGATGATGTTATTTCCATTTGCCATAGGCAGCAGGAATATGTGGATCTTGTATTGGTCATTTTCCCTTTTGTTGGATTTTTCCTGCTTAGGAAGATGCACCAAGATCACATGTGGCTTGGTGTATCTTCCTGGTGGGAGGGATGGGAAGGGGGGGGGGCACCATATGAAATCTTTAGGCTCCAGGAACCCAAAAGGTGTGAGATGTGTGTGGAGTACCCAGGGGTCAGTCCCCACAGGGACCTTAGCCCATAAGAACCAGGCCTTTCAGGAAGGCCTGGATCTGATTGGCTATCTAATTAATTTGGGAGAAAGTAGGGTTTTCCTGCTTTGTCTTGAATTAATTTGCACCATTTGGACACCTCTGGTAAAAGCATGAGAGCTCGCACATTTTGGGCCCTGTCTGGATGGGCCCTAAGTTTGCTTATTTAATCAAATGAGGTAACGAAAACTTTTTTAAAAAACCTATAGGACAAGCCAATCCAAGAGCAAATACAGCACAATTACTGCACTCACATAAGGCAACCAAGCAATGTGATCGACAGCTTAGAAATGAGCAGGAAATGTCCAGCTGTAACCCCAAGAGGCTACTACAGGGTTGCCATGGAGACCTATATCAGTCAGGTGTGGTCACTACCTGAAGGACAAAAAACATACTGCTTTGCGTTTCAGGCTTGTGTTTCAGGCTCCTTACAATCCTGAAACTAATAAATACTGTTACAAAATGTAATGTTGTGTACACAAACTAGTGCTTTTATATACCTCAGAGTTGCTTTCTTTGTCTTTCTCTTCCCACACTCCAGGAACATGGTATTCCAACTGGCATGGGCTATGCAGTGGCTCCTCACCATTCTGGTGTATATCCTGTTCATATTCAGCTTTATGAAGCCTGGAAGAAAGTCTGGGGTATTAAAGTCACAAGTACTGAAGAGTACCCTCATCTAAAACCTGCACGGTACAGACGGGGCTTCATCCACAATGGCATCATGGTACATTGCATTTCCATTCCCTCATAATCTCTGCAAACATGGCTAAAGCAAAGCCATTTTTTTCTCATATTACTTGAAGATTTAAAAGTAAAGTTTAGCAACCACCACTGACAAAGTAAATTTAAGAAATTGTGCTATCCTTAAACTGAACATTATAGTAGCTAAAGTCCCAGTTTCTCTCTGTTTACTGGAAGCTGACAGGGTAGCACTTGGAGATGACATCCAAGTGGCAAGGTTTTGTAGTAAATAAATAAAAACATTTTCCACGGGGATAAGTCAATTTGCTTACAAATATCTCACAATGGGCAAAATTACTAATTTGTTTGTATAGTACCTTAAATGCAATTAAATCCTCACTGCAGTTGAACCTTCAGACAATGGGTAAGAGCATGCTCCACTTATTCTGCTGGGTTGCACCTATCCTTATGATTACAATATGTTTTTACATGTTTCAACAAACTCAGATAGCCTCCTAATTTTTCCATGCCAATTTGTTGTGAGTTATGTGGCAAAACCTTCAGTCACCACAGCAGAAGGAAAGCTATACCCAGCCACTACAAAGAGCTGACAGCTGTTTATGTTTTCATGGCATGAGGTCAATACTCTTAGTCCAAGGTCATATCTATGTAAAATTAACTTGGCCATCACTGAGACAAAATAAAAAGCTCTGGCTAGTTGGCAGCTGTAACAACCAAAGCAGGGAGAGGGAACAGATTGGCACAAAAGGCACAGATGAACATTATCTCCAAAGGAAATGTCAAGGAAATTTCAGCAGATGGGAATTAGAAACATTTACAAAAGGCTGTTTTGCATCAATATAGAAGTTGGTAGTAGATATTAGCTCTAGTTAGATTTTATTGGAGCTAGTCTTACATAGATTTCATTAGTTTAAACATTTATCTTAAGACATTGATTGATTGGTTTTCGAAATGAAAACTAATAAAGACTCTATAGGCAAGACATCAATAGAAGGAAGCAGCGTCACTGCCTCCCCCTCTCCATCGCCAAGGACGTAGGCAAGGGGAGGGGGAAACCAGCCCTGTCAGGGAGCCTCTGAGCATATCCAGAGTGCCTTCGTCTTGCAACGGATCTTCCTTAGGGAGTGGATATTGTTGGACTGCCAACTCTGATCACTTATAGCCACTATGATCAATGGAGAAAGATAATTGAAAGTGTAGGTCAGTAACTTCCCACTCTTGACATATGCTAGTTTTTTAAGAACATTTCATGTGAAGGAAAGTTTTGCATGTCAGATGCCCCTAATCCTTCAGTGGTTATACAGGCAGTCTCCAAGTTATGAACAAGGTCATTGTAAGCTGCCTTGAGTCTTCTTTGGAAGAGATAAAGCGAGGTATAAATAAACATAATAATAAACACACCAGATATAACTGTTGTAGAAAAGAAAAGTTTTTATTATAGAAATTGCAGTACCAGGAGATAGTAGAGTAGAGGACAAAATACTGGAAAAGATCATAAAAGACAAAGATTCGCAAACTGAAATTGGACTACTATGGCAAAAGGGAACAGTGATACCAATTGTGGTTGGTTCACTTGGAGTCATTCCACTGCCATTCACCTCCTCAATGAGTCTTTGTTGCGGAGCCTGTAATAGTCTTCCAATAACGCAGCTGCTTCAGGAGTAATGTCCTGAAGGTAGTGTGTTCTGCAGCCTCTCGGTATAGAGTCCCATGAACAAGTTTTCACTATTTCAATAAAGTGTTCGTATTACTCAGGGATTGGCGCAACAGATATGGTCATGTCATCTAACATGTCTGAGAATTTAGTCCAATCTGCCTTTCTGAAGTTGAACCTTCATTTAAATTGAACTTCCTGAGGTCGGTGATGTGTGTTTGGTGTTGGTGGTCCCACTGATTTAGTGCATTGCTGCACAATGCTGTCGCTCACAAATAAGAGGTCTGGGTTATATCTCCAACTGTTGTAGGATGGTGGGAGCTTACTATCATGAATGTGCAATAGTTTGTGCAGTTCAGCCCAGAAAAGGACAGACTCCATTTTTATCCTCTTGAGCATAGCTCCATACATGGCTATGGCTGTTGAAGTCACCAATTTCTACCGCCCTTTGGTGTCTGTCAAAGTTCTCAGGGAAGGAGAAAGAAAACTCTTCATTTGCGGGCTTGTACACAGAGGTAATTGTGATGTTATTAATCTCCACTGTTGTAAACTCTATATTGTTTTCTTCGGTGTTGTGAACATTGCTGACTTGGAGGCCTGGTTTTACAAAGACAGCGCTTCCATACTGCGCATGTGATCTTTCCACTACTAAGCTCATTCCTGGAACTTTTGATCATTTTTGTTGTTTATCCCTGTGTGTTTCTTGGACACACAACACATCACATTTCTTATCTCGGCACAGTTCATAGAGCAGTTGTTCTTTGGCAGCTGACATGCCTTCAATGTTGATTGAGATTATTGTTGTGGTTGGTCCTGAAAAGGTCCATTGCCCAGGGGATGCCCAGATGTCTTGCAATCCTGCAGGGATGCTTCTCTCATGTCCCCCATAATAATAATAATAATAATAATAATAATAATAATAATAATAATAATAATAATAACAATAACAATAACAATAACAACAACAACAACAACAACAACATATTTCTAATCCGCACATCTCTCCAAAAAAGGTTTCAATACACCATACTATTATGAGTCACTCAGTAAGCTGGTGGAGAGAAAAACTGTGAATAAAAGCAGCAAGGGTTTCATGTATCAGGGGATCCTGGAAGGAACTGAAAGAACTATTACACAAAAGAGACACACACACGAACAGTCATTTATGTACACATCAATCTCTATAGATGTTCTTTATTTTTTCCCCATTTTTGTCTTTCTCAGGTACTCCCTCGACAGACATGTGGACTTTTCACCCATACCATTTTTTACAAAGAATATCCTGGAGGGCCTCAAGAACTAGATAAAAGTATTCGAGGAGGTGAACTGTTTCTTACCATTCTTCTTAACCCCGTAGGTACCTTTTGTTTTACATTGGTAGTAAAGCTCTATGTGATGATAAAATAAGCTACTGCAATCTTTATTTTTATCCTAATTGAAAATAACATTTGTGTGGTAGTAAATTTATTCTATGGGTCAGACTAATTATATATATATATATATATATATATATATATATATATATATATATATATACATACACACACACACACACACACACACACCCCTTTGGTGAATGAAGTACTATATCATTAAAGAAAAGATACAGCCTTACATAATGGGCACTTTAACTGATGATAATGATGATGATATGTTTATACACAGTATTCAAAACATTGGGCTTTATTGCAAATCCTGCACTATCGCACAATGTACTACTATCCTCATATTTTAGATACAAGTGAATTGTGGGAAGGGAACACTAAAATCTGTCTGAGCTTTGCCTCAGGGTAGATATAGATGAGATTTTGTTTTTTAAAAAAAGGGGGTGTTGTGTGGTTTCCAGGCTGTATGTCCATGTTCTAGCAGCATTTTCTTCTTTTTCATTTCACCTACATCTGTGACTGGTATCTTCAGAAGATCCTCCATGCTAGAACACAACCATACAGCCTGAAAATCACACAATACCCTAGTGATTCTGGCCATGAAAGCCTTCAATAATACATTAAACAAAAAAGAATTCATCAAAATCATTGAGAGGAGCCCCCGGTGGCGCAGTGGGTTAAAGCCCTGTGCTGGCAGGACTGAAGACCGACAGGTCGCAGGTTCGAATCCTGGGAGAGGCGGATGAGCTCCCTCTATCGGCTCCAGCTCCTCATGCGGGGACAAGAGAGAAGCCTCCCACAAGGATGACAAAACATCAGAAATAATCCGGGCGTCCCTTGGGCAACGTCCTTGCAGATGGCCAATTCTCTCACAACAGGAGCGGTTGCTCCTGACACGACAAAAAAAAATTGAGAGGGAAAGCACATTGATCCTTTTCAGCAATAGACATTGTGTGTTTTGATCATAAAGCTCTAATTTTGAATTGCTATGTCTTCATCCTCTGGATTATAATAGCAATCTCTTTTTGTGACACAATCCTCATTTTAACAGGTATATAGTAAGCACTCTACAATATCAATTTCTCTCCATTGGGAATAGTGATCATCAATTAAATCTGGCAAGTAAGGATGGTTAAGAATTTAATTTCATTCATATTTAATAAAAACACAAAAATTGGAGAAGCAAAAACTGACAAATTTATCTAGCATAATTTAATAACCTAGTGAATTGATGAAAATGCATCCAAGCCATGGATTTTCTGATTTGTGGGTCTGTCTCCTAGCCTCCATGGCACACCACCAATATTTCATGTTTCAATGTGATCCTGGATTTAGTTTATTAAAAGTCTGCCCGGTAGCAGAATTGTAAATTCTCTGTGAAAGTTTGCCCCCATTTCCCACAATAATGCTTTGCTATAACTATTGCTTCAGCTAAATAAGTAGTTTACAAGTCATCCAAACCTGATTGAGAGTTTTCCTACTCTGGGAAAAGTGCTACCTCTTTCATCCTAAACGGATACATTTCGTATTGGAACAAATCACTCCTTAAAGAAATGTTGTTAGGTCCTACAAGGTTAGAAACAAAACTCAAATGAATTTAAGTCTTTTTCAGAATCTGTCTGAATGACCTCCAATGAAACAGCCCATATAATGAAATGTATTCAAGTATTCTTCCATTGTGGATAACAAATTAAGACAAAAATAAATCTAATGTATTTCAGTCTGTTATCATGTTTTACAGTTGTATATTAATAGGTCAATTTACTACTGCGCAGAGGAAGCTTGTCAGGGTAATGAGGTACCATCCATCCTACTACTATGCCCTGATTTCTTGTGTCTTTGCCTGCTGCCAAAGAGAAGCTACCCTAAATTCATATATTATTGACAAACTTATCTTATAAGTAACATAATAAGTTAATGCTGTTTTATTTCAGAATGCCTAATCAGTATGCACCACTTCTTTATAAATGTACTTGAAACAAGCTCAATATGCTTATCTAAACACACATTTGTCTACCAACCCCCGAAGAACGACACGAGAAATAACAACACAACAACCATATTTTGGATTCAAATTGGGCAACTTTTATTTTAACGTTACCTATTTAACTKTTATCTACCTCAAGGGTGCCAGGAACTGGTGAAACCTAACCCAGGTAGTAGCACTACCCGATAATAACAATTTCCGGGCGAAACACCTGGGTTCCGYTATTACAACCAGATACCGTGAAGGGAAACGAATGAYGAGTCTGTTCCAAAGCTCTTGTATCCAGACTCCTTTCATTTCGAGGCCATTCAACTACACTTCACCCTTTAACTGGTGAATGCTCAACTTAATGGCCTGTCACCCCTTAAAGGGGTGCCCTAGGTGCACACCGACTAYAAGGAATTCCCTAACTATTTACGCCACYGATTGGGGGCAAATGTCRATTTCGCCCCCATCCCCCACCAATTCCTCKAACACCCRACTGATACCTTCCCTTAAGCTTAACAAGAACTGCTGGTTGCCCAATTCAGAAAGATGCACACCATCAGCACGGTATAACCGTTCGTCATCACGTGTTATGCCCGGGTGTGCAATGAAATGACCCCTCTGCTGGATCAAGAACACCCGCATAGCCCGGTTCACTCGCTTTCTGGCTTTTTCCAGCCTACGCACGTCGCCTCCTCCCAGCCACCTACGACGTGGTATAATAGCAGACCAAGCGACGTGAACACTAGGCCATAACCACAAAATCTTCCGAATGTCTGCACGAGCCTGCAAAAAGAGGGCTTTGCCAGTCAACAAACCAAGATCGTTACCACCGAGGTGGATAACCAACACATCAGGAGGGGGCCCACTCCTGGCATCCAACAATAAGGGGCGCAAACCGTCCCACCGAAGGCCTCTTACGCCTCTCCATTCAACCGTTGCCGTCGCCGCGAGGCCCAAGTGCTGGCCATAGGCACTCTTGAGGGCCTCTCTTCCTGCCCAAAAAACATAACTGTGTCCGCAGACCAGGACCTTCCATCTATGAGCCAGCCCTACGCGACCTGCAATGATAACGAAGAATTATGAGGAAACTGCCCTCACATAACCCCTAAACGCACCAGACTTCCATCTACCCAGGGTTTTTATTTCCTCACCCCTATATCCCATAGCAGCTGCTGATGAAGCTGCTCCAATCCTAAAGGAGTGGGTCCCAAACTTAAGGTGACCCAAACCCAGGAGATCAAGAGCCTTGGATGTGATGGCCCAAAACTGAAATTTTGTCAACGGCTTCCCATCCTTGTGACAAAACAAGTAACCACCGGCCGTGCCTCTAAGCGCAATGAACTGTGTCATGGCAAGAACGGGGCACAGCTCATCATCCCCACATCTAAACAGTCGAATCAAATGGCCTTTTGCTCCCTGGTCCATCTTGGACACCCTAATACTGATTTCCAAATACTCCTGGAAAACTTTCACATCAGAAATCAAAAGCGCGCGGTGTGAGGTATCATTTTTGGAAACTGCCACCAATTCACTCACTCGAAGAGCTGCAAAAAATGCAGTCAACGCCGCCGCATGAAATAAAAGCTGTTCGTAGTATGCTGTGCATAAGGTGGGCCATAAATGTTTAAGGCCTTTAAGAATGGCCGGCGTGAAGGGCTGCCGGTCATCCTTACACTGTCCTCGCTGCCTAGACCACCCTGTTAAGATTTTCTGAAGGCGAAAGTCGTCGGTGGTATCACAAAGCCCCTGGGCTTTGAACCAGTACGCCAGGGCCGACAACTTTGACCGGATAGATTGGGCTGCCAAGCCCCTTCTCTTGTGATATACACAAAACTGAACCAGCTGCTCGTAAGGTACTGGCATAGCTTCTGGTAACATATAGAGCTTCCTAAACTCCACGAACTCCCGTACCGCCCTGGCGTAAGATTTTCGGGAGCTGGGAGCCAAAGCCAAACTCATACCTAATGRTGRTTCGTCACTCCAGCCCTCCAGAGATGGTCTGGCATGCTCTCTGGATATACGTCCGCTGCGGGRGCCAACAGTCTGAACCGCTCCATCTGCATACGAGACAGAGCGTCAGCCAAAGCGTTGTTAAGACCCGRGACATGGAATGCACGAAACAAAACATTAAATTTAAGACATTGCAAAACGAACAGCCGAACAGCGCCCATAACTCTGCGTGACTTAGATGTGAGCGRGTTGATGACCTGCACCGTGGCCATGTTGTCACACCAGAAGTGGACCGTGGAATTGGCAAACCTGTCAGCCCAAAGGGTGACCGCTACCAAGATAGGAAAAAATTCCAAAAAGGTTAAATCTGACGTAACGCCACAAGCATGCCATTCCTCGGGCCACRTCTCGGCACACCAATGCCCGTCGAAGAAGACTCCAAAACCTATGGAACCCGAAGCATCAGATGCTACTTGCAAAGCATTGTGCACCAATAATTCTTGCCGCCAAAAAGAAACTCCATTAAATTGGCGCAGGAATTGCAGCCAAATGTCCAAATCTTCCCTAATTTCTAACGTCAATCTGATGTGATGATGGGGCAGAACTATGCCAGAAATGGCATCGCACAGTCTACGCAGGAACGCTCGACCAGGCGCCACCACCTTACATGCGAAATTTAAATGCCCAATTATTTGTTGAAATTCTCGAAGGGTGGCCTTGCGCCGAACCACAAAGAGCTCTAACATGTCAATCAAGCCCACGACCTTTTCGGCCGGCAACCTGGAAAACTGATTAACAGTGTCCAGTTCTATCCCTAGAAAAGTCAACACTGTAAGGGGACCTTCAGTCTTCTCTTCCGCTAAAGGCACTCCCAAGGAGTGCGCCAGCTGCTGAAAAGCGCATAACAGGGTGAAACAGTCACCAGAATGACCCCTACCCACGAAAAGAAAATCGTCCAAATAATGGACGACACCTTTGAGGCCCGACTTTGCCTTCACTGCCCATTCGAGAAAAGTACTAAACGTCTCGAAGGTAGCGCACGA